TGGGAATACCTTCAGATCCATATGCAAGTTACATGAAAAAGGATGGGATATCCAAATAAGAGTCAAACCCAGGTGGTAACCAGGATGCTTTTTTCAATATCTGTTTTATTATTGCCTTTTCCCATATCATAAAGTTTTATTTTGTTTTTTGAGCTCATACGATCTAGGTTAATGTTTTTCTGATCAGTTCTATTTTTTGACTGTGAATTTTTTAAACATTGCAATGGAGATTTCACCTGTGAAAAGCTACAGGGCTTTTACTATTATGTTATGTGTTGTATGTATTGTGTTATGTGTGCACACTTCTGTTTTGTGTTGTATGTCTGTATGTGCATATGTCCATATATCATATATGAGGAGTGCTCATGAAAAAATGGATCCAGGGGCTGGGGCTGTGGCTCAAGCGGTAGCGCGCTCGCCTGGCATGCGTGCGGCCCAGGGTTCGTCCTCAGCACCACATACCAACAAAGATGTTGTGTCCGCCGAGAACTAAAAAAAAATAAATAAATATTAAAAATTCTCTCTCTCTCTCTCTCTCTCCTCTCTCTCTCTTTAAAAAAAAAAAAAAGAAAAAATGGATCCAAATACTTCTATTATTCACGTGATTTAAATGGTTTAATTTAAATTGGGTAAACAGCTGTTGAGGATTGTTTTAATATGTGAACAAAAAAGGAGGTTAACAGATCTGTTTGTTTACCTTCACCTTTCCTTTTCATTATATTTAATAATTCTGTTCAGGATAATGTAAATTGTTCAGAAAATTGTTTTCTTAGAGCCTGCTGCTGCAATGTTACATAATTTTTTTTTTTTTAGCCATCATTGCCAGAATTCCTATCTTCATCCCAGTGCTGGTGAAGACAAAGAAAACCAAACTACAGCTTCTTCGATAGCTATCACAGTAAACTGTATAAACTGATGCATCAATGAGTAATAACTCAACAAGTAATGCTTATTCAAGGAGTCGATTTACTTTGGGAGGAAATGGACATATTGATGGATTCCTCTGCTTTGAACTGCTTGCAGAACTTGCCTGGACTATGTATCACTTGTATGCATTGTGAAGTATCTGTTGGTGCAGCAAATTGTGGTAGTGCTGGCGTATCTTTGCAGATGGTGTCATCGGTGGTACAATTTTTCCAAAAAGAGCCGTCATTTGGCTTGGTGTCATGGTATTTTGCATCCTCCTCCCTTCTGCTAGTGATGGTCTAAAATTTGGGGGCCAACAGAGGTGAGGCAAAGAACCTCACTCCCCCCCCACTGATGCATAGGCCTATCCACAAATATGGCTGTATGCTGGACCGGTAGTCAGTGATAGGTAAGATCCAATTGCAGTGGTACCAACCTAAGACAGGAGGCTGACGCCTTGAGGTCAGCTCATCCGATGACAGGTAAGGACCATATGTAGTATTGGACAACCTAAGACAGGCACGGTCCCTAAGCCACATTGCTTGTTGTTTAATTTAAAAGAAGGGGGGAGATGCTGAGAGCCACAGCCGAGTCTGAATGGCCCCTGGCATTTTGCCAATAGTATTGGTTGAGAGGCAAGCCATTAAGATGATGCTGGATTGATTCAATTGTATATTAGACCTCTACTGTATGCCTAGGCCTCCTACTTTTGCATTCTCACACTACTTTGGAGTTCTCGCGGGGATTCCTGGAGAGTTCACATTGGTTGGGGAAGTGCCGGAGGGGGGATTTCCAGTTGGTAGTTCCTGGAGAAGCCGCGTGGCGTTCGGGAGAGTTCCCGGGGAGCATGTGTGGAGTGTGCTGGTAGAGTTCAGAAATAAAGTTTGTTCCTGTTCAAGTGGCTCGTGATTTGTGCCCAGCCAGTATCCTGCCCCTATGAGGAGGTGCCATGGCAGTGGGCTGGCACTGACAGGCTCACACAGGAGGGGCTTCTGTCCAGTGCACTGCACCACCCCAGGCTCAGTGAAATCCAGGAGAAGGACCCCTGCCAGCTGCCACAGGTCAGCACACACCAGTGCACACAGCGGCACAGAGGGCCACACCCCAGCCACACTGTTTTGGCTGGTGCTTGAGCCCAGTTCTCTTCTTTGCAGAGTTGTGAGGTTGAACATGGTTCACCCCTCCTGCCAGTCTCTCTGAATATCTATGGCTACTCTCTCCCTGTCTACCCTGCTGTCCCAAAGGCCACAAAGCCACAAAGCCCACGAGGTGGCTCTGGGCATAGGACACTCTGCCCATAAACAAAGGGGGTATCAGCCGACTTCCTGGGCCACCGTCCCACGAAGCACCTATCTGCACACCTGAGGCCAGCTAGGAGGAGCAGCTCTGCCCAGCATGGACTAGTCGAGAGCCAGGAAGGCCAACTTCAGACCTGCCCCAGGCACCTGGCAACATCCAGGGTGCGTCCTGGCATACCCAGGACTCTCACCCACCACCCCACAAAGCACCCTTCTAGAAACTTCACTTTGACTCACTCTCTCCACAGGGTACTGAGCCCAAAGGCTGGGGCTGAGACAGGGCACCCATGTGCAGAGACCAGATCCCTGAGGTTGGAGGAGCCAACCTGGGACCCTCCCTCAGGGCCCAGGAAGGAGCAGCAGAGGGTGTGATGGGCACCCACACTATGGCCCCAGGAAAAGTGACAAGTGGGGACTGTTCTGGGTGGCCCTACCAGAAACCTCCCCACCCAGTGCTGGGGGTGTGCTGGGTGTCTGGGGGCCCTCCAGGGCAGCCCCCCAAACACCAGAGCAACACCAGCTTAGATTCCCCAACTGGCTTCAATTCCCGTGAGCCACCTGGAGGGAGGCATGGCCACCAGGAGGATGATGTTAGGGACAGCCATTCCTGTAGGCCTAGACAAGAGCAGGGATTTCCTGGGGTCACACCTGCCCTGGACAGCAGAGCAGCCCAGCAGCTGGGGCAGGGCACCACCACCAGCAGGTATGCTGGCCCCACGAGCACAGCCCAGCTCCAGGCCTACTGCTGTCAGACACCGAGGCCCGAGCACATGGCCCCTGCCACCGGCAGCAGGTGCAGCCCACTCCCCAGCTACCTCTAGGGTTCCCCCACGCATATACCCCACACTTCTCCAGGGCTGAGACCATTGGGCCACGCTCTGGCTGGGGTGTCCTCCTTCCCAGAACCACAGGCCCCGCCAGGCTACCCAGCGGGGCTTCCCCTTGTGGTGCAGGTAAAATCATAGAGCCTAATCCAAACACAAAGCATTCCTCTGCCTGCCGACTCAAGACTTCCCTTCTGAGCCACACAGGGGCCAGACCTCCCCCCCGCCCCAGGCTGGTCCTGACATTCTGCCTGCCTGGCCCTCTAGAAGTGAGTGTGGCAGAGCCTGTGGCCTGAGTCTCCAATGGGGAGGGCACACCTCTGTCTCTGATGATGCCTGACCAGGGACAGGACACTGTCCTGTAGCTGCCAGGGGGGTGGAGGCTCCGGGTGCCCTCCATGGGACATCTGGGTCATTTCTTTTACTCCGCATCAGCCAGCAGATTCCAAGAGGTGAGTCATCTCCCTGAAGTGACAGGTCCTTTCACCTTTTCCTGCTACTTCTAACCGGTTTTTCTGGATGTGTGAAAACTGACAGCCTCTGACACGGATGAGTGATTACTCAGTAACAACATGAGTGGGCAGCTGGGTTTCCTGTCCACATGGCTCTGCCTTCAGGATGCACAGCTATTTACACACAGAAGAGCTGGGGCATCTAAGAAGCATCCCTCCCCTGATGCATGAGCACCAGCAAGCCACCATGTGGCCAGCACAGCAGGGGAAACAGCCAGGCCCCTGGGCTACTGTGAGCCCCACGGGTGCTGCCAAGCAGTCAGCAGGGACAGGGCAGGGCTGGCTCGGGCAGGAAGCACCTGGCACATGCTCACTCTGGGTTCCACAGTCACTGCTCAGAGCAGCCTCAGGACCTTCCTCCTCCAACACTCCAAGGCCCACACTCCACCCACATCCAGAGGGCCCAAGGAGGTTGGCTTCCAACACCCATCCCTCACCTTGGCAGGCACCAGTGTCCTCCCGAGGGCAGAAGGTATCCAGATTGTGACGCCACAGCCCTGTGCTGAGCCCAGGTCTCTGGGAGGGCCTCTGAGCCCTGGCTTCAGCCAGACACACAGCCTCTGATGACAACAGAGGTCAGCACGTAGACCAGGGCTGGTTAGTGAGCCCCGCCTGGCAGGTGACAGACCCCAGGTCTGAGGACAGTGGGACCCTGACTGGGCCAGCTGGTTGTGAGATATCCACACAAATAGGCAGAAAGACCTGGAGCTGCCCTGGGGGCAGCAGCCCTGCAGGGCAGGTCTGGGTGGATGGGGCTCCCAGGATCGGTGGTACTGACGACCCATTCTGGCCTACACCTGCCCAGACTCCTGTTCAGCAAGAGCCACAAGACCTGGGGCAGAGCCCACCTCTATCCCGAGGGCCAGAGGCTGAGTGGGGGGCTGTCAATGAGCTCAAAAGGGCAGATGCCAGGGCTTCATTCAGGGCCTGTCCCATGCAGCATGCCCAGGGATGTCTACGCAGACCCAGCCAGGAGGGTGGGACATGGCCAGTCACAGAAGACTGAGCTGGCAAGTGGGGGCCCCTGGAGCTCCAGGAGCCCCAGGTATCCTGACATGCCACCTGCTGGCCTGCACAAGGGCTCGAAGGGCTGGAAACTGACCCCTGACTCGTGTGCTGGACCCAAGACCAGAGGGGACACCCACCTCTTCCACGACATGCACTGTCAATAGCCAGAAGACCCTGGCCAGCAGGAGGCCTCTGAGGGGCAGCAGGGTGTGTCCTCCTCAGAGCAGCTCCCCCAGTCCCAGACCCCCTCAGGCAGGGGAGGGGCTCTCAGATCCAGCTCACTTGGGCCCATTGTGAGGGCCACACAGGACCCCAGGGGCTCAGCCCCCACAGGAGTGGACAGTGGGGCTCAGTGGATGGCCAGTCTTGACGGCTGGCAGGCAGAGGCAGGCCCTGGGTCCCACTGGCACCTGACATCCAGGTGGTGCACTCCATACCACAGAACCAAGGAGAAGGATGTGAGCATTTCACTTTTCACTGGAGATTCACAACAGACAGAAGACGACAGCATGTGTCCAACCTCCCACACTGCCCAGGGACCACAGGTCAGCCAGCTGCAGAGCCAGGACCGCCGGAGCCTCCTCGAGGGCTCACCTCTGTGCCAGGCCCCTCAGCCCCAACACTGCCAGGTGAGGCGTCTCCAGCCTGAGGCCTTCTGGAAAAGAATGACCTCGTCACCAGTCCCAGGCCTGCTCCACTCCATGGCCAGGTCCACCCAGCACCCAGCGCTCCAGGTCATCATGGTAATGTGGTTCCTCGGGGCTCGTCAGCCCTGCCCACGGCTGCTATGGGCACACTCCACAAGGGCTAGAGCAGGCCAGTTGGAGCCAGGGGGACTGGCCATGGAGCAGGACACCCGCCCACACACCTGGCCTGTTTAGGACAAGCTGGCAGCAGGCAAAAGGGTCAGCAGACCCTGGCAGCTCCATCTGCTCTGCTCACTCCACAGAGCAGCGAGCGGCGAGGAGAGGCCTGCCGGGAGTCCTGCACCCTTAACCCAGAGTTGGTTCCTGATCTCTCCAGCAGGGGGTGGTCTTTCCTGGCTGCACACCACAGTGGGGCCCCGTCAGGCCTGGGTGGGCAGCATCTTGTAGGGGTTCAGTATGCCCTTGGGGTCCAGCAGGGCCTTGAGCTGCTGCATGAGCTGCACAGCATGAGGCGGCTTGCTGTAACCAAGGGCGTCCCTCTTCCTGAAGCCGAGGCCATGCTCAGCACTGATACTGCCCCGCTGCCCTGCCGTCCAGGCATACACATAGGGCTCCAGGGTGTCCAGCAGCGCTGTGCTGAAGGCATCCACCGTCACGTTCAGGTGCAGGTTACCATCCCCTGAGGACAAGGACATGCAGTCAGCCTGGACAGGGGACCCCAGACACTGCCCAAAGAGCCCTCCCCCAGAGGGCTTCTGCATCCTCCCCAAGTAGTACCCCTCCTGCCAGTGACCACCCAGGAGAGTGGCTCTGTCACAGTTCTGGGTGACAAAGTGGCCACTGTGCCCTGGGCTTCAGGGCTCTCATGTCCATGCACTGATCTCCCAAATGATCCTTCCACCCATGTGGCCACCCCTGAGGAGACCATTGTGGCTTCCATTTCCAGACCAGAGGGTCTACGAGTCCGAGCCAGTGCCGCCCTGCAGATCCCCACGGCCTGACACAGTGATGGGGGCAGGAAGCTCCAGCGGCCATCCCCAGCAGAACCTCCTCTGTGGGCACCCAGCCAGGGCCAGTTCCTCTGCATGTCCTGCCCTGCTCAGCGAACCCCTCCGCTGCCTGGCGCTGGGCCCGCATGCTAGGACCCCCAAGCCTCCCCTCTTGGGCTGCACAAGATTAGAGGCAAGGTCACCCTTGTCAATGGCAGAAGTCACAGAGGCCAGGGTCACCACAACAGATGGAGAGGATGCAGAAGGCCTGGCAAGAATAGTCACAGATGAAAAGACTGGGGGACATGGGGGACATGAAGCCACAGTAGAGCTACCCAGCAAACTGAGATTCAGCCAGCACAGCACAACCGGACTTGATGTAGGGAGACGGCACGCAGGACCGGAGGACAGTCGAGGAAGTGCAGGAAGGACCTGTAGACTCTGGTGTGAAGAAAAGGCAGGAGGAACCTGAGAACGTGTAGAACAGGGTGTGGGCAGAGGGCAAGAGGGACAAGGAGGACCTGTAGACAAAGGTGTGGGCAGACAGCAGGAGGGACTAGGAGGACCTGTAGACTAGGGTGTGGACAGAGGGCAGGAGGGACTAGGAGGACCTGTAGACTAGGGTGTGGGCAGAGGGATGCAGG